TTTTTTTAATCCAGGTTACTAGCCTTTGTCTCTTGATTGGTGAATTTAAGCCATTAACGTTTAAGGTTATTATTGATATATTGTTTGTACTTCCAGTCATGCTTATTTATTTATTTATTTTAATATAGCTCGTTTTTCCTTTTTGGTTATTTTTTTTTCTTCCCTTTACCGAGTTACCTCCCACTGTTAGTGTTCGGTGCTGTTTTTCAATTCCTTTTCTTGTAGTGTTTTGCTCAAAATGCCTTGCAGTGCTGATTTTCTGGCTGCAAATTCTTTTAACTTTTGTTTATCATGAAATATTTTAATTTCATTGTCAAATCTGAAGCTTAATTTTGTTGGATACAGTATTCTTGGTTGGAATCCATTATGTTTCAGCGTTTGAAATATGTTGTTCCAGGATCTTCTCGCTTTCAACATCTATGATAAAAAATTAGACGTTAACCTAATTGGTTTACCCCTGAATATAATCTGCCTTCTTTCTCTCGTAGCTTTTAATATTCTCTTCTTGTTCTTTATGTTGGATATCTTCATAATTATGTGTCTTGGAGTTGGTCTATTATGGTTTTGTATGTTTGGGGTCCTGTAGGCTTCCAGGATTTGGCAATCCATTCCATCTTTCATATCTGGGAAGTTTTCTAGGATTATTTCATTCAATAGATTGTTCATTCCTTTGGTTTGAATCTCTATACCTTCTTCTATCCCGATGACTCTTAAGTTTGTTTTTTTTATGACATCCCATATCTCTTGGATAGATTGCTGGTGATTTCTTATCATCCTTTCTGTGTTGACTATATTCTTTTTGAGTTAATAAACTTTGTCTTCATTATCTGATGTTCTGACTTCTATTTGATCTAGTCTATTTGTAATATTCTCATTTGAGTTTTTAATTTGGTTTAAGGTTTCCTGTATTTCTAGGATTACTGTTTGATTTTTTTTTAAATCTCTATCTCCTGGTAGAGCTCGTTCTTTACCATTTGAATTTGCCTATATAATTTGTTTTCATAGTATACTTTTATTGTTTGAACTTGCTGTCTAAAGTCTTCTCTAAGATTCCGTTCCATCTGAGTTTGGTATGCCTTGAGTTCTTTCCCTATCAATTTTTCTGATGCCTCTAAGTTCTCCTGTGAATTTAAGTTGTCTTGCATTGTTTGTAATCCTTTTTTCCTTTGTTTTTTCATGGTGCTCACGTTATTTTTCAACTCTGTTTGACTGCTGTGTTTCCGTTTTCTTCTTTAAATTTGTTTTGGTTTTTGTAGTTCCAATATATCTCTCCTTTGTGTTGGGAGACAATGTTTAGAGATGTTGGATTTAATTGTGATTTAAGGTAAATTCATTAGTTTCATTAAAGGCCTACAGAATTTGATGGCATGTATAGAATTGAGGTTTGAACTTAGGATTTTATGTTGAGGTCGGGTGATTTGATGGTATGGCGGTTAGTATATGTTAGCTTCATTTGGGGGGTTGCTCAAATGCAGGCTGATATTAACAAGAGAATAGACAGGAGTACGTGGAGGTATTTAAGGGCTTAGGCGGACTATGGACCAATTCGTAGTATTCATCTATTTGTATTTAGTAAGTTGTACATAGTCTGGGTGGTCATGCTTAAGAGGAATGATGGGGAAAAGGTAAGGAAGCAAACCAAGAAAGAGATGGGAGAGAGGAAAGAAAGAGAAAAGAATAGAAAAGAACAAGAAATGATATTAAAAAACAATAATAAAATGCAGTAAAATAAAAATTACATTTAAAAAAATAATAATATATTTATAGAAAAGAAAAAAATTGAAATTAAAAAATTTAAAAAAATTAATTTAAAAAAAAAAAGAGAAGAAAAAAGGGACACTGTTAGGATTCTATTTTCTTCGCTTCCAGTAGGTGGTGCTGTGCCTTGGCTTCTCCTGTTAGCCAGGCCTTTCTTAATGTGATATCTCTCAGCAGTTCAAGCTACACTCTGGGACTGCAGTTTCCTGGACATGGAGCTCAGCTTTTGGGAACCAGCACCTTATTGTTTTGATTCACTCCGATAGCCCCTCCTCTGAGAGCTGGCAAGACAGGTTTCCTTTTCGCGGCTGGTGGGAGGGGGAAGTTGGAGGTCAGGTGCCTTTACCTTTCCCCACGCCTCTGTTCGCGCTCACTCTGTTAATCACGCCCCCGGGAAAGCCGGGGAGAGATTTTATGTGATTTCCCCGCTGTATGGGGGATGGTCTAAATGACACAGACCTGTTCTATCGCTGAATGAGCTGCAATCTGTCGAAAACTGGCGAGGGTGACTCTCCAAGATGGTGGCCGCTTGCTTCCTCGGTGGCCTGACCGGTGTGGAGGGCAGAACTGGACTGCTTTCTTCCCAGTCTCAAACCCAGAACTCAGCCCGGGGCACAGTGAGGGGACAGCCGGCAGGAGCCCACAGAGTCTGCAGCGTCGTTTCTCTGCGTTGCTAGCTCGCCGTTTCTAGGGACGCCGTTTCCCAGCATGCCGCAGTCTCCAGCAGCGGGGCAGGCCGCTGAATAAACAGCTTGAATCTCCGGGCAGATAGTTCACTCGCGTTTGAGCCCCAGTAACTGAACCTCGGGCGATGGGAATCCTTCTTCTAGGTTTCAGAGCACCTCAATTTTGCTAGAAATTCCTAACAAGATAGCGTTTGATCGTTCTAACTCGTCATTTACCCGCACAGTGACGCAGTACTGGGGGAGTGATGCAGTCCATTCGCCACCATTTTCAAAAAATTGATTCTTCCATTCTTTTAAGCAACCCCTTCCTCTTTCCCCCTGTTAATGCCCAGACACATTTTTGGTACTGTATTCTTTTTCTTTTTCTTTTTTCCAGTGTTAAGCTTCAAACACAGGGCCACATGCATGCAAAGCAAGCTGTCTGCCACCCCACAGAGCCATATCCCCAGCCTGTCTAGACTCATTAAATGTCTGGTAATAATGCCCTCTGATATGCCATTTTCTGCCTGTCCTGCCTCAACCGCATCCATCCTGCATTGGTGGTTTCACTGAATTCTGTGTCATTTTCTTGACGCCTCTATCTCACAATACCTGGTCTTCCCTCTGTCAAGAATATGCTTTCTGAGTTTCTCCACGTGGTGAATCTCCAACTCTTCTAAAAGAATTCTTCTAATATTACTACCTAAGATGTTTCTTCATTCCTGGTCATTTCTAGAGATGACCAGGGCACCTCTATTGCCATGCTTAGAGCACATTATATATATAGATTCCCCCACAGACTGTTATTTCTTCAACTCAATGGCTATTCCCAACATTTTTATTTCTCCAGGTTCTAGAAAAGTTTGGGCAGGTGGAGGGTGGAAACAGTCATGGCATGGTTTCTCAAACTGTGGGTAACAATTTATTAATGAGTCATAAGATCAATTGAGTAGATCAAGGTCAATTTCCCTACTCCCCCAAAATAAAAACAGAGCAGACTGAAGTGCTTGCCATCTACTAAGGATATATTTGTTAATAAAACATTACTTCTCTCACATAATAATTTACAAATGCATGCTTTATATGTGTGTGTATGCGTGTGTGTGTGTGTGTATATACACACACACACACATAGATACATACATATAGCCACATTTGATCCCAGAATAATCTAAGAAAAGTAGCTTTTAGCTGGACAGTCAGGTAGCCAGCTCAAATCTCTATGACTGTAGAAAAGGAGGCAAATATAAATGGAAGACAGCTAGCAGTTTCCATGAGCTGAGACATGCCGATCCTGATCCTGTTTAATACTTACCTAAATGAGTTCATGTAATTCTCAAAACATCTTTCAGATGAAAGTTGACTTAGCCTCACTAATCAGATGAAAAAATTGAGGCTCAAAGGATCTGAGTACCTTTCAGCCATAATGTTGTAGAGAAAGAGTCTGCTATTCACTATCTACTCCCATGCCACCCTTGAGAAGTGAGAGTCTTCATATCTGCTAGGATCCAAATATTTGTGTCTTCCTCAACAAATCCCTGTGTGGAAATCTAATTATCAGAGTGGTGGTATTGGGAGGTGATGAGCCTTCATGTATGGCATTAGTGCCCCTATGAAACATTCCCAGCAGGCTGCCTTGCTCCTTGCAACATGTGAGGATACAGCAACTAGGTGCCACCTCTGAACCAGAAAGTGGGTCCTCCCCAGGAACCAGATATGCTGGTGCTTTGATCTTAGACAGCCCAGGCTCCAGATCTATGAGAAATAAATTCCTGTTGTTTTTAAGCCACTCTACTTATGGCACTTTATCATAGAAGCCTGAAGAAGAAAAGACTCTACTATGAGCTTAGCCACACTGATCCTGGGCATTTCATTCCTTAGACTCAAGGAAAGTGGCTGAGTTGACAATTTTCTGATTAAGCCCTTTGAAGGGTTAAGGAACATTTTATTTCTTTGGATCCTGGCCACTATTTGAAATACCACAGGTGAGATCTAATAGAACAATCCTACATCTTTAGAAGAAAGTATAAATGTTTCAAAAATAATAGAATCTCCCTCTTCTCTTCCAGAAAAAGTGCATGCTGAGATTGACAGAGTGCTTGGCCAGTGGCAGCAGCCAAGCATGGCCGCCAGAGAGTTCATGCCCTACACCAATGCTGTCATCCATGAGGTGCAGAGAATGGGCAACATCATCCCCCTGAATGTCCCCAGGGAAGTGGTGGTTGATACCACTTTTGCTGGATACTACCTGCCTAAGGTAAGGAAGCACACCCAGCCTCAGACTTCAAGCCCTTCTTTGAGACCATCATAGAACTTGCATTTGTATTTGAAAAGTCACATATATTCCCATCCCAAAGAATCACCTAGATGGGAGATACATTATACTTGATATAATACTAACTTTTTCCAGCTTTTACCTACAGCCCCATGAGGGGGAACTCTCCATTTCATAAAAGAAGCCACTCCAGTTGTGCAATTCATGATTAGAACGGGAGAGCAAGGAACGAATATTTACTTATGCATCATTACATGTCATGGACTAGCCTCTTTCAAAATATCTTAGTTCTCAGGACAACTATTATTCCCATGTTATAGATTGGGAAGTTGAGTCTGAAGGAAATTAAGCTTGCATGAGATCTCAACTACGAAGTGACAATAGCTGGATCGAGAACCAGAGCTGTTCTAATTATTTGTATGACTTGATGCTCCCTCCACAGGACTGTTTTGCTTTGACTTAAACAAAAACAAAAGCAAAAAAATCCTTTAAATTTTTCCCTACTGGTCTCTGTTAAATCCCTTGGCTTCACTAACAGAATTCAGATCACACTCCACCCACCACTTTTAAGATCTCTGCAGAAGGCTCTCCTGGGTCCCCCAGGGTTCTTTCTCTATGATGCACACTTACAGTTTCTTCCTTGCTACTGGATCTATTCTAGTTTGTCCAAGTCCCTCCACATTTGTTGTACTTGGGAACAATGTCCAGAGTTAGAATAGAAGAGATTCCCAGTGTCTCCTTGGTGACTGTCACTGCAGAGCCAGGAAATGCAGCTGCTATGAGAACTATTTTCTTCCTGATGAAACTTCTCATGGATGAAGGCTGAGGCCTGAGTTCCCAACCAGGTGCTGTTTGCATTTTTCTAGCCATTCACTTAACTCCAGAGAATCAGTCAATCTCACTAGATGAATTCTACCACTGGTTTTTCACTTTAATAATCCTCCTGGGATCTGAGAAATATAATTGATTACATGAATGGAGGCTAGGAGCCATGGCTTTGACATCAGATAGACCTAGTTCACATGACTCTACCTCTCCCCACCACCACGTGGCTCTGAGCACATTATTGAACCACTCACAACTGCAATTTCTTCATTTGCAAAATGCATTTGAGCCCACCCTATAGGATCCACATGAAGTAAAATGGGACCCTACATGCTGAGCCTCGTACTAAAAGTAACAGTTATTCGGCAAATATTCATTAAGTATCTGAAGTACTTAGATCTAGAAAAATAACCCTGAGCAAAATAGTCATGCTTACAAAATATACCAACCATGCTAATTGTCCCAAGGAAAATACTCACTGCCTCTGTAAAGATGCTTCCAGCATCTCCCAGGAGGAGTGAGGAACAGGTGCTGGAAGGATCTGGGGAGGCTTGCCTGTGAAGGAAGTATTGCTGGAGCTGAGGATTAAAGGATTGCTGGGAGTTGGTTAATGGCAAAGTGGGGGAAGAGAACATTTCCAGGCAAGGTGAGCAGTATTTTAAAAGTTATTTAAATGAATGGAAACTTGACCTGTGTTACAGGAAACTGTAGTGGGAGCTCAAGAAGAATAGGAAAAGCCCTGAGAGGTTAGGCAATGGATCTGTGACTAGGAGTGTGGGAAGCTATTGAATACCAAGTTTGAGGTCTGAGTGGGTGGGGGCTGTCATAGATTTCAGCCCTATTCAAAGCACACTCTGCTTTCAGGGTGTGGAGCGAATCATTCAAAAAGGCAATAGAGGATGTGGGGCATAGGTAGGAAGTGATTACAAGAATCTGGATGAGCAAGGTGGAAGCTTGAACTAAGGTGGTGGTAGACGTTCCCTAATGGAGGTGAGGGAATCAGGGGGCATTGAAAGAAGTGTCAAGCATGACTGATGGGTTGGATGAGGTAGTGAGAGAAGGCTCACTCTAGTGACTCCAGAGTTTCTTGTCATATATCTTGATGGACAGGGATTCTTTTCCCTGGATATCTGCTTCTGCTACTCAAATAGCTTTTGGGACTGGGCACAGCCTTCTACACACTGGAGGGAAGAGAATGCAGAAGCAGAGGTGAAAGATGCATTTCTCCCCCTTTGTAGAGCTGCCCTTCTTATCACTTCACTGACTAGCTGAATTGATTTAATTACTGTGTGGACCCACAAGCTGTCACATAATTCTCTCATGGATGCTTATAGGTCCCTTCCCCAGACCTATACTGACTTTTTTTCCTGCAGAGTACCTTCATTATGCAGTCAAGAGTAGCCAAAACTCCCAGGTAAAATTCTCAGAAGACAATTCTAATTCATCCTTCTTTGTCCCACACAAAGAGATGGGTCTTGGAAGGTTGAGCTCAGCAGGTGGTGGGTTGGGAGGGTGGGGAAGCTCAGAATATGCTCAGAACCCAGCATGGGGTGCTGAGAACCACCTACCTTTGCCTAGATGTGTGGTGTGGGTTAAGTCCTGCCTGACTTTTCACTGCCTTCTCTAGGGGACCATGATCCTGACCAATTTGACTGCTTTGCACAAGGACCCCAACGAGTGGGCCACCCCTGACACATTCAACCCTGAGCATTTTCTGGAGAATGGACAGTTTAAGAAAAAGGAATGCTTCCTGCCTTTCTCAATGGGTGAGTTTGGATGAACAGGAGTTGGGGAGGGCAGAGTTCCTCCCTCAGCCCTTCCCTCCTCTCCTGTCTGCAATCCTTTGCTCTAGTTGGGGAGTCTCCAGAGGGTCCTGCCTAGGGTGACTCCATCTCACTATTGTTTGAAGTTCAACATCCTCTGGTCCAGGCCTGGCCTCAGACCGTCTTTACTTCCCAAGCCCTCCCTGGCTGCTGGTGGAGATTTCTGCTTCCCTTAGTTCTGTTTTCCAGAATGCTGAGGACAGAGACTCAAACCTTGCCTCTTGGTCACAAAGTTGGATATATTCCCTTTTTATGAAGTTTTTAATTTTCACAATTTGTTTTTAAGTGTTTTCCTCTCCCAAAGACATATATCTGGTATTGATGGGGCGGCAGCAAAGGAGAGAAGCTATTGATTCACTGTCATGTGTAGTAGACAGTGACTCTAAATGCTCCCAGCTTGGCTAGGTTGGGCTCTGCTCTGTAAATTCTTTATGAAAAGGTCCTTTTGTCCTTTGTAAGTTTAGTTTCCTTTTCAAAATGTAGTTAATACATCTGTATGAAATGCAGCCATAAAAGTGGATACAATGAAACAATGAAACCCCCATCTCTCTCTCTCCTATCCCCCACTCCTATTTTCTAGCCAGCCAGTTCCCAAAGATTATTTCAAACTTATAGCATTGTAAAATCAATAATTAGATGTCTTAGTCCAGATAATGAGTTTGATATGTTATATAAACTATTTCAAATAATTTCTCAATTCCTTTATTTTATAAATATCTCAATTATGTCAGATATTCAGTCCATTTCATAATGATGAATGAAACAGAAGACAAACAGATGCCCTCAGAGAGCATAAGTCATACTGCAACCTTAGAAGTTTCAAATTTATCACCACTTTAGAGGTATGAAATTTAGGCCCAAACACATGTGATAATGAATTCATAAAACTCATGTAGCAGACCTAAGGCTAAATAAATGTCAACCAGATTTATCAAAAGTTAAAATTTATGTTCCTCCTAACACCATATTCTGAAAATAACTAAATGCTACAGAGAAAACACACTGTAGAGTACATGATAATTTGCTTATTATTCATTTAAAATATGCATTGACTTTATGAGACAGTATATTTTGACTACTGATAACAGTAAAAGCTTAGAAAGGGAAGAACTCTCTTTCTTTCATGGCCCTGAGTTTCCAATTCCTTTGCTTTCCCACTATGCTGCACTGCCCTAGATGTGTCTGGGTTGATCTGATTAGAACTTCTTTTGTCTTTGCTAATCTGGTTCTACCCTTACCTTTGCTCACATTGGACAAGTCACCTCTAATGTGAAGAGGTAGTATAAGGTGTAGGAATGTCTGCCAGTCTTCCTGTCTGCTGTAGTTTCAAAATTTGTATTACAGCACAAAGTTACAAGTGTGTTTCAATTACTGTGACACTTCTTGCTTCTTGCATCTTGGATTCATAAAATGTTGCAATGCTAGAAATCTGACCCTTTAGCATTTCACAATTGTTTAACCTGCTGTTTACTGCAACTGTGATGAGAGGAATCATAACAGAGATGGCTTTAAGAGAAAGATGGATTCTCTTGACCTTCTGATACCCAGATAGATTCCTTCCCTTCATATTGCCAAAACCTCTTACTCATAGTTTTTTCATGTCTTATTCTGTTTTAAAACAGTCTTCCTTCTGCGTTAGCAAAAGGATAAAAAGAGCAGCACACAGTGACTCTCTGATGTTTTGCTACCGAGAATTATAACACTCTCTTAATCACAGGCTTCATTTGCAAGTGTATTATCTCAAGCACTCCTTACAGCAAACTAGTTATTAATACTTACACAGGAAATGGACTGGTATCTTATTTTTTAATATAAGCAAACTAAAACTGAGAGAGTTGTTTCTTTCTGAGATCAGATGGCCCCCAAATTGGTAGGCTAGGGTCTAAGACTCAAGTTTTTATACTTTCAATTTAGTGTTCTCTCTAGTACAACTAGAATGTAACTTACTTTTCCATTTTAAGAGTCATTGAGTTTATACCACATGTATCAGCTAGTATTTTGCTGCAAAACAAACAATCTAAAACTCTTGGGACTTTATAAGCTTGTGTTATTGCTCACAGGTCTACAGGTAAGGTATGTGCCTTTGCTGTTCTTGACTAGGCTGTCTTACATGTTTGGTAGGTCATGTATCTGAAGACTGATTTCAGCTGGGACAACAGTGTTCTTTTCTCTCATTCTCTAGCAAGCTAGCCTGGCTTTTTCACATGGTGATGATTAGGTCCTGAGAGAGAATAGAAGCACCTTATGGCCCATTAAGGTCCAGGCTGGAAACTGTCAAGCCTCTACCTTCTAATGGCTGATGCAAGTCACAAGGCCAGCCTCAGTTAAACAGAAGGAGGAATTGCTAAAAGTTTGATTTGAGCTATGAAGTCGTATTGTAAATAATGTAGAACTGAGGCAGGGGAGAAATGGAGGTGTTTTGTTCTCAGCATCTCTCTTTTTAATAGAAGAATAAAATTCAGAGAGTACAGGCAATTTGCCTGGGGATTCCCACAGAAGATGTGGCAGAATGAGGATCAGTTGAATTTAACAGGATATAGAAACCTAGAAATATCCAGTGAATCAACATGGTGAAAACTCATCTGTCTGGTTTTTCTACCAGACTTTCATCTTAGACATACAGTTTTGTTTCCTCACTCTGAAGGAGTTTAAGCTCGCAATGAGCTGAATACCATAGAGGAAGTGAGTAGGCAGAGAAAACTTGCTCACCTTATGGTGGCTGCTGAACCAAGAGAGGAAGGGGCTTAGGGTCTCAATATTTCCTTCAAGGGCACACACCTCCAATGACCTCCCCGTAGATCCACCTTCTAAAGTTTCTACCATCTCCCAATGGCACCAGAGGCTGGCAGACAAGCCTTTAGCACATGGCCTTCAGGAGACATTTAAGATCTACACTTAACATTCTGTCCCTGGCCTCCAAAAGCTCATGTCCATCTCACAATGCAAAGTACATTCAGTTCATCTAAGAGTCCCTCAAATATTAACTTTTCTAGCATTGCTAGATAGTCCAAGTCCAACGTCTTTTCTGAGACTCATACAAACTATTAGCTGTGACCCACTGAAAAAAAGGTAAAAAAGAAAAACAACAACAACAAAAATTGCATGCTTCCTAGATTCCTAGCTTCCTAGTCCAAGATAAATATTCCCATTGAATTTAAGTTTCTCAGTTGAGTGACCATGGCTCTAACTGTAATGTCTGGCATATGGAGAAAAGCAATGTGGAGCTCCTGAAGATTGCTAGTGCTCCACTCCCAAGTTTGATTCTTAAAGTAATGGTGCAGGCCACATCTTCTAGACCCCTCCCCACCCAGTGTGGAGGAGAAGGTCTTACAATGCAACTCCACTGCAGCAACCCAGTCTCTCTGAGCCTCTGAATCCCTTCATCAACATTAAACCAAGTCAATTTAGACATTTCCAGCTCATTCACAATGAGCCATCTTTTGATCCATATTTTAGCCAACCAACCAACCAAATACACTGTTAGCACCCCCCTTTTAAAAAATATTTATCTTTTAATTTTAGGTGGACACAATATCTTTATTTTTTTTATGTAGCTGAGAATCGAACCCAATGCTTCACGCATGCTAGGCGAATGCACTACCACTTGAGCCACATCTCCAGCTCCATTAGCACCCCTTTTAAACTCTGCAAATAAATCAAGGGCAGAAGCTCTGCTTAATGCGTTCATATCAATAAATTCAGCCTGAACCAACTTTATGTTCCTTCTACCATTAGCCCACATCATTGAAATCCATTTTCACACATGTGCTCTAGACCTCTGCTTGTATGAATTAGAAAATTTGAGAAGTTCATTTGCACTGTAGTGCACCTCCCCAGGAGTCACACAGTGCCCCTTGCCTCTAGGGGTCTGTTGATACTGAAGTCTGATATCCAGTCTAGAGGCAAAAGTGGGTGGTTGAGGTGGGTCCTGAGGAGTAGCAGCATTGTCCTCTTAGTAACTGTGTCAGGGAAGGTCACTTCTGTTTCCTTGGACAATGCTGGATTAGTTCCTTCAGGCAGAGGTGGAAAGGCCAGGAGCACAGGGGAAGAGTTGGGGGTGCTGCTGTCACTGAGGGTGGGGAGGCCACTTCCTCTTTCAAAATCAATTCATCATAACTTAGGTGTTCAATGTCACTGTCCTCAACAGAGTCTGCCCACAGGTCCCCATTCCAATTTTTAGTATGTCATTATTTCCATGTAGTCCTTTCATTTTAACTGCAGATACCTGTCCAGGTTGAGACTTAAATTTGTACTATAATCCAGACAATTACATGATGAGGGATTGGGTTTTGGCAACTTCAGCCTTCTGTCTGCCAGAGAAAAGATTCTCCTTCAGGGCATACTTGGAAGAGTTCAGGTTACTTATGTAAATTTGGCACTGGGAAATTGAATCTCTGAACACATTGTTTTCCTTTACTATTATGTCCAGTGATGCTAGGGACAACCAGCCAACATCATTATATTCCTTGGTTTTCTTAAAAATGTTTATAAGTATCATGTATAGAATTGCTGGATTCCCCATCAGGCACATTGAATGTGTTTCCTTTTTGTCTTATGAAACAATTTAGACCAGACTATCAATACTCTCTTCAGGAGAGTCTTTAGATACTTTAGGTTTAGACAAATTAGAGAGCCTTCCAGATACCATAAAACCAATTAAAGAAATTCAACATTACAGTTCTGTGTCTTTACAGCTCCTTCTGGTACCCAAATCTGTACTAAGGCTCTCTAGAGAAACAGAATCAGTTAGGAAAGAAGATTTATTAGATGGGCTTACATGGTCAGAGGATAGTCTCACAGTAATCATTTGCAAGGTGGAGAACTGGGGAAATTAGTAACTAATCAGTCCCAGAAGCCGAAAATCTCACAATGGGAGGGACCAATGACCCAACCCCTGTAGGAGGCTCAAAGCCCAGAAGCCCTCTGGAGAGTCTCTGGTGTGAGTCCACTTTCAAAGGTTGTAGAAGCTGATGTCTGGTGTCGGCAGGTGATGGTATCAGCAAAATTCCCAGCTGCTCAAGAAGAATTGAGCTGGCAAATTCAGGCAAGCTTTCCCCATCTTCCTCTATCTATTCCTTCTGGGCCCCCAGCCATGGGACTGCTGTGCCACCTACATTCAAAGCAGGTCTGCTCCTCTCATTTTACTGAGCCAGGTGCCAAATATCTCTGGAAACATTTCACAAATACACCCAGAATTGTGCTTCACCAGCTTTTTAGGTTTCTCAGTCTAGTCAGGTTGATCACCAAAATTACCCATCACACAGACCTAAGCTATGAAATCAAAGAGTCCTAGATTTCATCCTTTTAAAACAAATTCATATCTGTTATCCACCTGGGACCTTTGTCCTGCCATTTGACACAGGAAACAAATGTTTCACATGTTTTGCAAGTGAGATAGGTTTAGCTTTGTGAGAATGGATGCTTTAGTCACTCAGTGGTCGCTGATGGAACTAGTTCTTTAACTGTGTGTGTGTTTTTTTTTTTACTTGTCCAATTTTGTCAAGATACATACATGGATTCTTCTAGGAGAATCTTGGCAATTTATAATACAACTGATTTGTTATCAAATCATACTATTTCTGATAGGTAATAAGATAAAATGTGAGGAAGAGATATGAATTAGACTCAGGCTGGAGGGAAACAGGCACAAAATAATATAATAATGATATAATTGGGGGCCATTTACATTTACTAAGCACTTCTGCACATGTGATCTAACTTTATTTCCTCAATAACCTGCATTTGTCTTGTAAGTGAGGACAAAATGGAGACCTTAACAAATTTAACAAATTTTCAAGAAAATTTAATTACAAAGGAAAAAGACAAGTAGTAAAAATCAGCTTATAGGACTAACAGCAGTGAATTATTCCCATTATGGCTCCTAGTGGAATTGCCTCTAGGATAAAGAGAAAATATCAAAAGGGTTAACAGAGGTAGGGACTGATTTATGGTATTGCCAACACCCTTTATTATCTTCTTGGTATTTTTATTTGTGTGTGTGTATTCATTACCCTTTTGGATGAATATGTACTAGGAAGAAAGTAAGCTATTAAAAGTGCACATAGAAAAGATGGTGGTAGCTACTGATGTGGAGCATTGTAGCCTAAGTGGGTTGAAGAGGATGTTCACTCAGGAAAGTGAGTAGGAGAAGCCTAGAGCAGGTATTAGATTGGAATTGGAGGCTGCCTATATGAACTCAGATATTCAGTAGATAAATAGATACAGAAATGGATATGGATAAGAATATGGGTGTATATATACATAATTCAGTAAATACTCATGTTATATACACATATATATTCCCCTGCGCTGTCCACTGAGATGACCTAGAACAACAACAACCAGAAAGCAACAAGCATGTCTAATGCCCAGACCTTGATTTTTGATTTCTGCATATCATTATCCAGTAAAAGCAACCAGAACACCTGGAAGAATGGCTCATTCCAGGGCTGGGGAAGGGTAAATATTAAATCAACCTGTAACATGATGTTATCCTAAAAATTCAGGAAATGTCAGATTGCATGGGCATCAGATGGCCAAATCAGGAATATTCTGAGCATCAACAGGAGTTAACAATGAGCAACAGATTATAACCCTTTGAATAAAAAGAGGAACACATGAATCCATACTGATATAAATAAATGAGTGGATAAATAAATGGGGAGAATAACAAGCATCTGAATGCTGGTAAGTGTAGAAGGAATGAGAGAATTTTAAAGTCATCATGTGGCAGCCACCTGTGATAAATAATTTGGCCAAGAAATGACAATGCAAAGTAATGAATGAAAAGTTAATGAGGACTGGTTTATTCATGGAATCCCAAAATATTTTTAGCTCCATAAAGAAAAAAAGTAATTTCACAGGGGGAGATTATTAGATACTACCTTAATCAAGCTATCACAAGTAATGACAGGAAACAAAATCACGTACCACCTGATAGGATGGAATGAGAAGATAGCACCACTTTTTTGATATTCCTACCAATGCTGCGGAACTTCACAACCTGAATCTGTTTATGAGGAAGCATGAGAGACATTTCCAAAATGGGTCTATAATCTTTAAAATGCCAAAGCCATGACACTTACGTAAAGACTGAGGAGTTATTCCAGACTTAAGGACTCTAAGCACACAGGACATTAAAATGCAATACCTGATGTTGAACTGGACCCTTTCACAATAAAGGACATTATTGGAACAATTGGAAAAACCTGAATGGGATCTGAGACTAAAGTGATGGTCATGCATCAGTGTTAATTTCCTGCCACTGACAGTTTGCTGGTGCTGGGATTGAACTCAGAGCCTCATGCATGCTAGGCAAGCACTTTCACCACTGAGTCACATCCCCAGCCCCCACTGACAGTTATTTTGGAGGATGTTCTTGCTTATAAGAATTACACACTAAATTTTTCATGGGTGATACGGATGATTTACTTTCAAGAAATTCAGGAGAACTTTTTGGGTTTTTTTTTTGTAAGTTTTCTATACATTTAAAAACATATCAAAATAAAAAGCACAGTATGATAAGTATCACAGTAAAAGAATTATATGGAATACTACTTGAGTAACACTACCACCAAACAATTTTACTTAAAAGTTGACTTTTAAATTGCATTCTACTATGTTTCAAGAATTAATCAGATTCCTTTAATGATGCGCTATTGTACACCTATAGTGTTTATTATTATCCAAGAGACATTTTACAACACTTTGTTATGCTATATAGTTTGTCAACATATTCGGCTTATTTGGATTCAGTGTATAAGCCCAATCATTATGGAAAATAAAGTTTTTATCTTAAACACACATGCAAATCTTCATTATTGCCTGCAGAGATTACTTGTCCCCATCACATGGCTAGGAAGTGAGAGGAACTGACCTTCATCTGTGTCCTTCTGACTCCAGTTCTCCACACATAACAGGGTGTTGGACCTGGCCAAGGCAGTGCAGAGTCAGCCACGGAGAGAAGAGGTTCCAGTCCTGGGCTCCATGTTGAAAGCAAAGGTCTTCATCAATACCCACTCTAAGGGTGATGGGCAGTGCCAATATAGAGGGCCATCCACCCTCTAGAGAGACATTGGGCATAAGAGAGAGGTGATTTAAATGCTCTGAAGTTTATTTAGTTATAAGAGAAATGACTTTCTTTTAAGAACTGAAAATCAATACACGGTTTTGTTGTCTGATTTTGCCATTATTTGTTAAATTGGTTTTGAAAGCCTTTTAGGCTAGACACATGCTTTCTTGGCCAGCCCTGTCCTCCCACTTCTCCTTTGTTGTAACCAAAGGAAAGCCTGAATAAACCCTCCAGCTTCACTTGCTTTCAGTTGCCTTTAAAATATGCTCATTTTGGAGGTCATGCACCTGAGCCATGTATTTTTAGTCTCCCACCAGCTTTGCTGCAGACAACGCCTGTGACTGGTGGTCATGATGATTCTGGTTGCCTGGGCTACTTTCCAAGGACTTTTAAAGTACGAACTCTTCCTTTGGACATGCAGATATCTGATGGGTGACGAAATTTGGGATAAAAAAGCTTGGCATCTCTGCCTTCACACTGAATCTGCCTCCTTTGCTACTTTAACCATTGAGTCAGATTTACTGTTGCGTCATATGGTAAGGAGTGTGTGTCTGGAATCAGTGTTGCAAAGTTAATTAGTCCCAACTTTACCTCATCTGTCTCTTCCCCTTTCAAGGCTAAAGACAACAAGATAAGAGTAACTAAGATATTTTTGAAATTTACAGACATCAGGATCACCAATCACCAACTCTTACAGGCCACCAGAGTGGAACCTAGAAGTCCCTAGTTGTCAGTCCTTCCCTTTCCTTGGCTGTCTTTCTTTCCCCCTCCCCTGGGGATTAAAGTTGCTTACAGCTAGGCTGGGTTGAGATGGTCTTGTCGGCATGGCCTCCATCTTCTTGACTGGCTTGCTTTCTTTCCAAATCTTTGTCCTTGTGTCAACAGCTCACCCTTGAGTGAGTGGCAACTACATGAACCTGGGTACAGTTACCCATACTCTGTGTTACCCTGGGG